CCAGTCAGTTCTAGGTCACCATACCAAGAGCCAGTCAGTTCTAGGTCACCATACCAAGAGCCAGTCAGTTCTAGGTCACCATACCAAGAACCAGTCAGTTCTAGGTCACCATACCAAGAACCAGTCAGTTCTAGTTCACCAAACCAAGAACCAGTTATGTACATATGAGTAGATACATTTTTCTTTTTCCTATCAGATATAAAGTTGCCTATAAGAAAGAAACTGGAGAATGCAGACTGGAGATCTCCATGACCTTTGCTGATGATGCTGGAGAATACTCCATCTTTGCTAAGAATCCTCTCGGAGAATCCTCTGCGATCGCCCTCCTAATGGACGAAGGTATCGGCATCATTGTGTTTTCCTCTTTGTTTACAGGACCACTTCCTCACAGTCTTTTTAAATATCTGTTTACAGATCAATATGAAGCCTTTATGAAGCAGGATGTAACGTATAAAGCCGAAGTGACAACGACTGTGGTCCCAGAGCCCCAGCTGGTCCTGAGTCAGTATGAGCAGGACCAAAGGAGGGTGATCACCCCAATGAGCTTTGTCTCAGAGACGGTACTCTTCCTACGGACCTGTACCTGTGACATGTTTAGTAGTCCACCTTTCATATTTAATGTTCAACACTGTTTATATTTCATTATTTTAGGAATTCCTCATATCAGCCTTTGAAGAGAGAATCATCCAGGAGATTGAGCTGCGTATCATGAGAATCACCTACAGAGAGCTGGTGATGGAGGATGGAGAGCTGATGGTGACCATCCCTGAGGAGGAGGCAGTACAGCCAGTCTTTGATACCCTTGTCAAAAACTACCGGATTGTGGAGGGAATGGGCGTTACTTTCCACTGCAGGATGTCTGGAAGGCCACTGCCCAAGGTGCTGACAAGTCACCTACATTTACATTCATTCTTATCTTCATTTTTATCTGTAGAACCAAACCAAAGGTGCTAAATTACTCTCTACATCTACACTTGGGCTTAAATGTTAAACCAAACCAGGTATAGTTAAAGTACTTTGTGTAACTCATGGTCATTGTTTTCATAAACCTTAAGTCTTTGGATTTTCTGGGTCTTTAATCTGTTGTTGAGCTTCTGTTAATGATGTTTTCACATTGTTGTAAAAAGCTGAAAAAAGCACCAGAAGGACCTGTTGCAGAGAATTTATTGTGCCATATAAACTTCTCGACAGATTGTTTGGTACAAAGACGGGCAGCGCATCGTGCCCAGTGGCAGACACCAGATGGAAGTTCTTCAGGATGGACGGGCCAGTCTTCGTCTGCCTGTGATCCAACCAGAAGACGAAGGCGTGTACACAGCCTTTGCCTCCAACATGAAGGGAAATGCTGTGAGCTCAGGGAAGCTCTACGTGGAGCCTTCAGGAGCTGTAACTCCCCCAAGATACACGTCACATTCATCAATGCAGAGAATCAGGTAGGTCCTAAAGGGACTCAGAAACTGGAGCGTTTACTTCGAGAACTAAGAAACTAAAACCTCTTAACTAAAGAGCAGGATTGAGGTTTGAAATTGAGACTAATCAATGGTTGCCCTTTTTATTGAGAAGTTATAGAGTGAGAAAGGGTTAAGCTCAGATCTCACTGGTCATCTTTTGGTTTTCTCCATCATTCCTTCTTGCTTCTTCTGATAGTTCTTTGACAACTTACAGAAGCTTAAAAGATGACAATAGGTACCCAAAGTGAGCAATTAGCTGGTTGACCTGCTACAGAAGTAGATATTTACTCAGCTTTTAGTACAAATAGATGCTGAGATGGTGTAGGGACAGGGCAGCCGACTCAGGACCCGAAGGTCCTGGGTTCGATTCCCGGTCATTGCACATCTTGTGGTATCTCTGAGCAGGACACCTAATCCCAAATTGTTCCCCGGGTGCTTGCATAGCTGCCCACTGCTCCACCTGGGTGTATCCCAGGCGCGATGGGTTAAATGCAGAGAGCCAATTTCGTCTTTGTATGGGAACATAAAATGATGACATCACATAGCACTTTATTTATTATTATATTATTATTAAATCAGGAACATACAGAATACTCATTATTTATGATTCTTCTAGTCCAAATTTGTGTAAATATGTCCCTGTTCTAAGCAGTCCAACAGATCCTGGGTTTTGACATTTTGAAGCTTTCAGTATCAGAACCCTTCGATATTAATGCTGCAGTCTCATTTTAGATCCTCATCTCCTCGTTCTCTGAGCCGCTCCCCTGGCCGTTCACCCAGCCGTTCACCCGGACGCTCTCCTGCCCGCCGCCTCGATGAGACTGATGAGGCTCAGCTGGACAGACTTTACAAACCTGTGTTTGTTATGAAACCTTCCTCCATAAAGTGCTCTGAGGGACAAACTGCCAGATTTGACCTGAAAGTTGTTGGTAGACCGATGCCTGATACTTACTGGTTCCACAATGGTGAGTAAAGGCATTAAATACTATACATAAATCTGCCTTTGACATTTTTGCTTCTTGTAAAGTCTGTTTATTCTCCCATCAACAGGGCAACAAGTGGTAAATGACTTTACTCATAAAATAGTGATTAAAGAGGATGGTACACAGTCCCTGATCATTGTCCCTGCGGTGCCAAAAGACTCTGGAGAGTGGACAGTTGTAGCTCAGAACAGAGCCGGACGAACTTCTGTATCTGTAACTCTGTCTGTCGAAGGTAAGTTTGTTCCATCATTCAGTTATCCAGTGTTATTGAGAAAAATAATATCACAGTATCAACTGTTGTTCTGGAATCTGCAGCTCGAGAAAGTGTGACCAGACCTCAGTTTGTTGAAAAACTCAAGAACATCACAGTGAAGCAGGGAACTCTGGTTGAACTGGCTGTCAAAGCCATTGGAAACCCCCTGCCTGACATCGTCTGGCTGAAAAACAGTGACATCATCAGCCCACAGAAGCACCCACAAATTAAGTAAGTATTTCTACTGTAGCTATGGAGGATTTTCTAACTCTGAAACACTTGATGATTTACTGAATACTTTGACTTGTTGCTTATTTCAGGATCGCAGGAACCAAAGGAGAGGCCAAATTTCAGATCCCATCTGCTGCTGGTTCAGACAGCGCCTGGTACACCGCTACAGCCATCAACAAGGCTGGCAGAGACACCACCCGCTGTAGAGTCAATGTTGAGGTTGACCACATGGCCCCTCAAGCTGAGAGGAAGCTCATTATCACCAAAGGAACCTACAAAGCCAAAGAGATTGCAGCTCCTGAGTTGGAGCCCCTCCACATGAGATATGGCCAAGAGCAGTGGGAAGAGGGTGACCTTTACGACAAAGAGAAGCAACAGAAACCTGTGTTCAAGAAGAAGCTGACGTCAATCAGGATGAAGCGTTTTGGTCCAGCTCATTTTGAATGCAGACTGACTCCAATTGGAGACCCCACCATGGTGGTGGAGTGGCTACATGATGGCAAACCACTGGCTGCTGCAAACAGGCTGCGCATGGTCAACGAGTTTGGCTACTGCAGCCTAGACTATGAAGTTGCTTATGCTAGAGACAGTGGAGTCATCACCTGCAGAGCTACCAACAAGTTTGGAGTTGACCAGACCTCAGCGACTCTGATTGTCAAAGACGAGAAGGGCCTTGTTGAGGAAACACAACTTCCAGAAGGCAGGAAAGGAGTGTACCGAATGGACGAGATTGAGCGCATGGCTCATGAAGGTGGACCTACTGGAGTTAGTGTGGATGAAGAATCTGAGAAGACAAAACCTGAAATTGTTCTGCTCCCAGAACCAGCCAGAGTGCTGGAAGGCGACATCGCTCGATTCCGCTGCAGAGTGACCGGTTATCCAGCTCCAAAGGTTAACTGGTACCTCAATGGACAACTCATCCGCAAAAGCAAGAGGTACAGACTTCGTTATGATGGAATTTACTACCTGGAGATTGTTGACATCAAGTCCTATGACTCAGGAGAGGTCAGGGTGGTCGCAGACAATCCTTTAGGCACAACTGAGCACACCGTAAAACTGGAGATCCAACAGAGAGAGGACTTCAGATCAGTCCTGCGTCGTGCCCCTGAATCCAGGGTTGCAGAAGCCTCACCAGAATCAGGCCGAATTGGATTTGATATTGTCAAGACAGACAGACCCAGCGAGGTCCCACAGGACAGGGAAGTTGTTAAACTGCGTAAAACCCAAAGAATTGTTCATGAGAGAACCTCTGAAGAGACTGAAGAGCTGAAGAGCAAGTTCAAGCGCAGAACTGAAGAGGGCTTCTATGAGTCCATCTCTGCTGTGGAGTCCAAGTCTCATAAGAGAGATGATTCTTACGAAGATCTACTCAAGAAGACTAAAGAGGATCTGCTTCATCGCATGAAATTGAAAGAAGAGGAAGAAAGGAGAAAAATGGAGGAGCAGGGCCAAGTCACTATCCCCACTTTCAAACCAGAGAGGGTCCAGCTCTCCCCCAGCATGGAAGCACCCAAGATCTTTGAGCGCATTGCAAGCCAGACTGTCTCCCCAGCAGACGAGGTCCGTTTTAGAGTCCGAGTCGTTGGTAGACCAGAACCAGAGTGTCAGTGGTTCAAGAATGGTATTGAGCTGGAGAAGTCTGAGCGTATTTACTGGTATTGGCCTGAGGACCACGTGTGTGAACTGGTGATTAGAGATGTTACAGTAGAGGATTCTGCCAGCATCATGGTTAAAGCCATAAACATCGCCGGAGAGTCCTCGAGCCATGCCTTCCTTCTGGTACAAGGTAAAATCTCTTCAGTCAAAATCTCTCTAGTTATATCATTTTGTCCTTTTACTCACACTGACTTCTTGGTTTCTCATTTCAGCCAAGGCAACAATTAGTTTTACCCAAACTCTGGCAGATGTTGGTGCCAATGAAAAGGACACCATGGTGACCTTTGAGTGTGAAACCAATGAACCATTTGTCAAGGTCAAATGGCTGAAGAATGATGTTGAGATCTTCTCAGGAGATAAATACAGGATGCACTCTGACAGAAAGGTTCACTTCCTGTCCGTGCTGATGATTGAGATGAGCGATGACGCGGAGTATACTTGTGTGGTTATAGATGATGAGAACATCAGGACGTCTGCAAGGCTCTATGTAGAAGGTACTAACTCTGATTTTAAGTCTTGATTCATTTGTTTTTATTGTGTTCTGTTGGAAGCTCAAGGTTCTTGATGCTGCTCTGTACCCAGGTGCTGCCCTGGAGCTCATCAAACACTTGGAGAACATTGAAGTACCAGAGAGTTATGCTGGGGAATTTGAGGTTGAGTTGTCTCGTGAAGATGCTGAAGGCACCTGGTTCTTTGGCGAAAAGGAACTCTCTCCCAGCAGTAAATACATCATCTCCTCCCGCCGAGGAAGACATTCCCTGTCTGTCAAAGAGGTCAGGAGGGAAGATCAGGGGAAGTATACATTTGTATGTGGAGACCTTAGGAGCAGTGCCTCACTAAAGATGAAACGTAAGCTTGTGGAGGAGAAGACATGGTAAAAGTTGTTTGTTTTGTGATGAGAGCTTTAAGCACAGTGTTTTTCTCTCTTCAGTACGCCCAGTGACCCTGATGCAGCCCCTCACAGACTTCACTGTGTGTGAGGGTGACATAGCTCAGCTGGAAGTCAGGTTCTCACAGGAGAACGTTGAAGGAACCTGGATGAAGAACGGCCAGGCCGTAACTGCCTCAGACCGGGTTCACATCGTCATTGACAAACATGTTCACAAACTGCTTGTTGAGAACATCAGCAGAGATGATGCTGCTTCTTACTCTTTTGTGGTTCCAACTCATGACATCTCTACCTCAGGAAAACTAACTGTTCAAAGTAAGTGTTAGAACCACAAAGGACACAGTTTTGAACCACTTTGGCCTTTTGAATACTTAAGTTCTGTCTTTTTTTCAGCTATTGACATTGTGGTGCCACTGAAGGACGTGTCCTCCGTCGAAGGCTCAAAAGCTGTTCTTGAGTCTAAGATCTCTGCTCAGGACATCAGCTCCGTCAAATGGTACCACAACGATAAACTGCTAGTGCCCAGCGACCGGGTCCAGATAGTGCCAAAGGGTTCCAAGCAGCGTCTGGTCTTCACCAGGACCTTCGCCTCAGATGAAGGACATTACAAACTGGTGGTTGGAAAGGTTGAAACCAGCTGCAACTTGGCTGTTGAAGGTGGGAGAGACTCAACATATTCTGGTTCTGGTTTCAGGTTCTAGTCCCATGTCCTAACAGTATTTTTCTTACAGAGGTACATATTGTGAAGCACATGGAGGACAAAGAGTGCTCAGAGTCCCAGAACGTTACTTTTAATGTTGAAGTTTCCCACCCTGGAATCGACCCAGTTTGGACCTTCAGGAACCAGCAGCTCAAAGCTGGAGTCAAATACAAGCTGGAGTCCAAAGAAATGTCTCACATTCTCATGGTCATTGACACCATGAAGGACGAGGAGGGCCAGTACATGTTCCATGCCGGGGAGAAGACTTCCAGTGCCAACCTCACGGTCTCTGGTGAGTCCAAACTCAAACAGATGAAAAGGTAGTCTGATGGTTAGAGGAGCTAATCAGTCCTGCCATAGGCTCTGGAAAACAGCTGAACATTCTGTAGATGAATGGTTCCGGTTCTACAGGAAACACTGAAACACAGTCAGAACTGTTTGTTTCTGCCTCCACCAGGTGGCGCCATCACACGACCCCTGCAGGATGTGACGGTGGCTGAGTCTCAGACCGCTGAGTTCGAGTGCGAAGTCGCCAACGCTGACGCTGAAGGCAGGTGGCTGAAGGACGGTCAGCTGGTGGATTTCAGTGAGAACGTTGTAAGTGAGGTGATGGGGGCCATCAGGCGCCTCGTCATCGTCATCACCAGACCGCAGGATGTAGGAGAGTACACCTACCAGGTTGCCAACTCCAAAACCAGTGCCAACCTCAAGGTGGAGGGTGAGTACCAGATTCTTCCTGCTAAACTAAAACATTGGACTCTGGATCCTGAACCATCCAGTTGTGACACAACTTAATTTTACGATTTTGTTTTTTCGTGTTTGTTCGTTTTTTTGTAGCGGTGAAAATTAAGAAGACTCTGAGGAACCAGACTGTGACTGAGACCCAGGAGGCAGTGTTCTCCCTGGAACTGACCCATCCGGACGTGAAAGGATCCCAGTGGATCAGGAACGGAGTGGAACTGCAGAACAGTGACAAGTACGAGATCACATCTGAAGGGACGGTCCAAACTCTGAAGGTGAAGGACTGCAACACACAGGACGAGACCGTTTACTCCTTCAAACTGGGAAAACTGTCAGCCAATGCCCGACTGAATGTAGAGAGTGAGTATCTGTCGGCTCCGATTCATTCGTTCCGCGACAGCAGCTGTTTTAAAAACATTTACCTCTGTTTGATTCTGCAGCGATAAAGATCGTGAAGAAGATTAAGGATGTGACATCACTGCTGGATGGCACCGCCTCCTTTGAGATGAGCCTGTCACACGACAACATCCCCGTCAGGTGGATGTTGAATGGCGTGGAGCTGAAGTCCAGCGACAAATGTAAGATTCTGTCGGAGAGGAAAGCTCACAAACTGATCCTGCAGAACGTGGATGGCAGCGCCGCTGGGGAGTACACGGCCATGGTGGGACACCTGCAGTGCAGCGCCGTGCTCACTGTGGAGGGTACGCTGCACTCCAACACCCCGTCATGACCCGTAACACGGAAAACCTTAAAGTGTCACTGAATTACGTGATTCACAATAAATTAAGTTTACTAAATTTACTGCTTTTTTCTCTTTTGTTCATTAGTTTAAACCAGGTGGAAACAATATTGTTCTCAGATATTAAGACATCTGGTAAAAAAACAAACTACAATTATTAGATTAAAAGACAGAAAAAATGTAATATTAAAAGTTCAATCAGATGAAAGTTTAATTCATGAGAACCTTTAAAAACTACATTTACTGCCATGTTCTGACACAATAAACGATAATTAAATCAACAATAAATAAACTACAGAAAAATATTTATAAGAGAAGCATCTTTTAAATTAGTGTATAAATAGATTGCTTATTAAAAAAGCCAGAACATCCTGCTCAACTTGAACAAAAATGAGGAAAGAGATCTAAAGCAGTGAGAACAAAAAACAATAATAAAAAATAAAATAATAATGCATTTTAAGCCTACTTTTAAAATACCCAATGTAAGCAATATCTTCGTTATTAATACATGATAAAAATAGTATAAAATCAAACTAAATTATATAATCGAAGCCAATAAAGGAAACAATAATAATTTAAAATGTTATTAAAGATTTAAAATGGTCAGGGAGTGGTTCAGTGTGAACAGGTGTGTTTTCAGGTGACATTTGAAACTGAATTCAGTCTTAACGGATGTCCAGCTGCTTTTATTTATTTAGACTGTTCCACAAATCGGAGCCCACCAAAGTAAAATTTCTGCTGGCTCTGGTTCGGAGTCTGGTTGATGGACTCTGGTGGTACAAACGTTCAGGTGTTTCCATGGAGACATGAACTGACTTGACATTTTTATTAACAATTTTTAGAGGAGATTTATAAAAGCTGAAGTTCTGGTGGGTCCGTATGGAGCCTCTCAGAAACTATTGCAACAGCCTGTTTGGCCACAAAACCTAAGATCTAAATTTTTACCTAACTTTTAAACTTTGATCAGGAGCTGAGATTTTTCACAAGTGACATTAATTGTAAACATAAAAAAAAACGTTTTTGGGTATTTTTTCCAAGCTGAATATGTTTATTTATTTTTTTGTTTATAATGTTGTTAGTGTGAACATTGTTGCCATCTAGTGGTACATCAATGGTATTACAACATTTGTGTTAGAATGCAAGATGGAGCCTATTCTCAAAAGCAGCAGTAGTTTTAAACAGGAAGTTCATGCAGATAGCTCAGCACAGGTTTGACACAGGTGTGTTTTATTCAACCTGCAGACACTGAAGTCACACCTCAACACAGGAAATAACAGTAATCCAACGGATTAACAGAAATTACATTCTCTGAGGGATTTAACAAAACCTGAATTTAAAGTAAAAAAAAAAAATCAGAAAAACAATGACAATATGAAATAAATGGGCCAATATCATCGTCGTAACCTTAGAATGAGTTAGATTTTTTTTTTTTTTTTAAAGAAAATGATTTGTTTAGGTTGAAGGAGTTTCTCTCCATCTTTGTTCAGACATCTAGTAAAGCTCCAGCTGAGCCTGAACAGCTGATGGGCTGAGCAGAACCAGGCAGAACAATCTGTAGATCTAAAAAAATAAATAAACGAAAGAGAGAAAAATAGACATCAGGCTTTTTAAACACTGACCCAAACAGCACAAACAATTAAAACAGTACGAGGCCTAAACCAACTAACTAAACCCTAAACTAACTTCCCTTCAATATGAGCAGAACCATCAGAACCAACATGAATAAAAACATGAGGGAAGAACTCTGTGACCCACTGGGTCCAAGGCAGCAGTCAGATCCAACAGAACCTCCAGAATCAACAGCTCAAATGGATTAGTTAACCTTCTAAAAGAGCAGTTTATCTGCAGTTGAAACGAAGATTTACAACAAACTACTGACACCAGTTGAGTCAGAAATTTAACATAAAATTAAACATCAAACAAATCAAAACGATAAATTTTACTTTAATCTGTCTTCGTTCTGTCTCCTTCCCACCCGCTGAAGTTTTGAAAACTTTAGAAGTAGACATTTTATTTACCTCAGTATTCATATGATCTAAATATTATCTGATGAACAGACGTCTAGATGGATTTTAAATGTTTGTTTTATCGCCTGCAGCTCTGCGAGTCACCAAGCCCATGAAGAGCGTGGAGGTCCCGGAGACCCAGGCGGCCACGTTCGAGTGTGAAGTTTCTCACTTCAACGTGCCGTCCACCTGGCTGAAGGACGGCGTGGAGATCGAGATGAGCGAGAAGTTCAGGATCGTGGTTCAGGGGAAACTCCACCAGCTGAAGATCATGAACACCAGCAGGGACGACTCTGCAGAGTACACCTTCGTCTGCGGGAACGACCGAGTGTCGGCCACGCTCACCGTCAACCGTAAGAACCCAAAACGCATCTGGCAACCCGGTTCCATCACAGCTGAAACGGGACGGTGCACAGAAACATGCTGAGAGCTAGAGCTGATTTTAATGGTCCTCACACCTCCAGGCTTCTCCAGTCAACAATTGATGGCAGTAAGCCCCACCCCCTCCACACCTGGCCAGTTGTGAAATTTAGCCCCACCCACACCTTTGGACACACTTATAGTTTTATAACTTTTAATCAGAGGCTGTGCCACCACTTTCATTAAAGTTCTATTGGACCCATAAAATTTTGATTTGTTCAAAATTTTACCAAGTTTCAGGTGTTTTGGAGAATTCAAAAGTCCCTCAAACAACTTGTTTGGCACAATAATAATAATAATAGTAATAATAATAATAAAATCTTGCATTTCAACGGATCTACACATCCCCTCTGGTGCTCGGGTCGGTAATCCGTTTTTACCAACAGGTGTCTCCTTCTCTTCACTGAATGTTGTTTCTCCCGTCCTGCAGCCGTCCTCATCACCTCCATGCTGAACGACCTGAACGCTCAGGAGAGAGACACCATCACCTTCGAGGTCACCGTCAACCACGAGGGCATCACCTATAAATGGCTGAAGAACGGCGTGGAGGTAAAGTCTTCAGACAGATGCCAGGTCCGCACCCGGCAGCTCACGCATTCGCTCACCATTCGAAACGTTCACTTCGGGGACGGAGGAGAGTACCAGTTTGTGGCCGGCTCCGCTGCCACAGCTGCTAACCTGTTCGTCGAAGGTAACAGTTCAACTTTGATTAGCTTAGAAAGATGTTGCTGAAGATAAAATACCTTTAAAATAGAAGAATGAATATAAAACTTTGATCTGCTCATTGTTTTGTTTCATTTATGTTTTTTTGTCTGTCAGCTCGTGTAATCGAGTTCACCAAGAAAATCAAGGACATCAAGATCACTGAGAAGAAGAAGGCCATGTTTGAGTGTGAAGTTTCTGAGCCAAACATCCAGGTGATTTGGATGAAGAATGACCAGGAGCTGGACTTATCTGAGGAAAGGTCCGTCACTGATAAAACCTCCCCCACTTCACTAGCTGAAGCTTGCTAAGGTCAAAGGTCAGCTAGAAGTCATCTCATGTGCTGTCTTCACAGGTACATAGTGACAGCAGAGAAGTACGTTCACCGCCTGATGATCCAGACGGTTCGAATGTCTGATGCCGGAGAGTACTCTGTGGTGGCTGGATCGAGTGTCTCCAAGGCCCACCTGACTGTGGAGGGGCGCGACATCCGGATCTCAGAGCCTGCTGAGCGCGAGATCACAGTGGGTCCCTTCTAGATTCATCTTGTACTGAAGTTTAACTTGACTTTGTTTGGGGAAGAACATCTACACCTGCGTTTGACGTTAACACCGACCTCTCTCACAGGTTCTGGAGAAACACAGAGCCACCTTTGAATTTGAGGTGAATGAGGATGACGTGGAAGGTAGCTGGCTGAGAAATGGCGTGGAGATCCAGTTCTCTCTGGAGGAGAGGTTCAGCTATGTGGCCATCAGGAAGGTGCACCGCCTCACCATTTCTGAGACGTACAGGAGCGACGCCGGGGAGTACACCTTCATTGCCGGCAAGAACCGGAGCACCATGAACCTTCGAGTTAACAGTAAGTCCATTAGGATGGCCTCCAAGGATGGACCAGTGGAGATGGATCGAGATATCTTAAAACTTTGAAACTGACCTGTCCTCCTTGTCTTTTTCAGTCCCAGAGCCTCCTCAGATCCTCCGTCACATGGAGCCCCAGTCAGTGGAGGCTGGGAAGCCAGCGCGCTTCTCGGTGCAGGTGAGCGGCGTTCCTCCACCTCAGGTCTTCTGGTACAAAAACTCCCAGGCTCTGTCACCGGGCTTCAAGTGCAAGTTCCTGCACGACGGCAACGAGCACACGTTGCTGCTGATTGAGGTCTTCCCCGAAGATGCCGCTGTCTACAACTGTGAGGCCAAAAATGACTACGGTACAGCTACCAGCACCGCCATGCTCAACGTGGAAGGTAAGACAGGATGTCCTGCCTGCAGAACAGAGATGTGAACGGGACTCGATCTGATCCAGGTTTGTGTGTACCGCAGTGTCAGAGGTGGTTTCTCCAGACACAGCTGCTCCCATTTCTCCTCCCGTAATCATCACGCCCACCGCCGACACCTCGGCCAGAGAGGGGGAACCAGCTCACTTCCTGTGCAGAGTCCGTGGAGATGGTGAGGAACTTCCCATTTTGTAATAAATTTACATTTTTGCCATTTAGCAGACTTTGTAAATCAAAGCTATCTAGAGCTGAGGAACAACACTGAAGCTTTGATACAGTAAGACACCGTTAAGGTCAAAGATTTATTTTCTTGGATGGCCAACAGATTGCTCTGAGAGCCAGTGAACCTTCCTCAGTTTGACTATAGAGAAGCTGAGCTTCAGACAGAGATGAGTTCTTCCTGTAAGATTGACAAACACAGTTGAGCATCATCTGCATAGCAGTGAAGTGCAAAGTGAAGGGACTCCATTACTGATCCTTGGAGCAACCCACAGGAGAAGTGATTGTGTCACTATCATCCCTTGAAATAACAGAGACACTATTCATCCTTGGTTCACCAAGTGAGAGGCGCTTTAAAGACGAGGGTCATGGACAGAAGAGCCGTCTCACTGGGGTGACCTCTCCTCAAGACAGACGAAGATCAGTCAGAAGGTTTTATATTCAATCAAGTGTTTTGTAGCTGGGCTGAGAAGCATCAGGACACCAGTTCACACACATGAAGGAACTGAGACTCGAAACTCTTATGATGAGCTTTATCTTGAATGACTACACAGCTTTTCTTCCTTATCTCGGTGCAGACGTGAAGATCAGCTGGTTCCACAAGGACAAGGAGATCAAGCAGTCGGACTTCTTCAGGATGTCTCAGTTTGACGACAGCTGTCAGCTGGAGATCTCCAGAGTTTATCCAGAGGACGAAGGAGAGTACACCTGCGTGGCCTCCAACAATGCAGGGAGAGTGTCCTGCTCTGCCACCCTCACTCTGGACGGTGAGTTTTTATGCTGTGGACCGAGCCACGATGTCAGACCAGTAGGGTCCATTCAGAACACCGACTTGGATAAACGTTTTAAAAACCAAAATATGTTTGATTGATTCAAGTCAGCATCATTTTTATTGTCGTTCTGATATTGACCACAGGTTCAGTGTTCTGTGGTTTGTAGTTCCAGATCTTTCTTCAAAGTAATAAAACTGGAGGAGATGGTGGTTTATTCACATCACACGTCTTCATCGGGTCCTGAACAGGTTCAGTCTGACCTCAGACCAACAGTTTTCACCGTGTCTTTATTAAAAACATTAAACCAAAATCTGTAAAAAAAAAACCAGGTTCCAGTCCTGGTTCAGAACCTCCTCCAGCAGCAGAACTCGAGTGGGTTTTCTATAGGACTTTATCAGTCTCTCATGGTTCTGGAGGAGTTCTGGTCCACTCCTCTTTTTGTTGCTCAGCTCCCTAAAGGTCCCACTCAGCATTTCCATCAGGTTCAGGTTCTGGACTCTGTCTGGACCATTGCAGCACCTTGGTTCTGTGCTTTCTGACCCATTCTGTTGTAGACTAGCTGCTGTATTTGAGATCATGGTTCTGTTGGACCCAGTTTGGTCCAAACTTCATCTGTTGGACAGATAACTCCAGAACTCTTTGGTCTCCGGAGGAGATCCTGGTCCACTCAGTGACTGACAGGAGCCCAAACCATCAGCCTCCACCACCGTGCTGACAGCTGGGAGGGGCTGTTTGCTGCAGTGCATTCTGGGTAAACGTCTGTCCTTTGGTCTGGTTCTGTCCCAGATGTTTTGTGGTTCCTTCAGATGAAACGTTCGAGAGCTAAGCGGTGCTGCCATCTTGTTTTTGAGAACACATTGAAGTGTTTTTATTTTAAAGGAAATAAATAAAGACACGGTGTGAAATCTTCTGAGGCTATGCTGAGTTTGGTTTATTTGGTCCTGATCCAGTCGGTCTTAAACCAACTATGGGAGCGGTTTCAGACTGGCCTTCTTGTGGTGCTGGCTGCTCAGGGACTGGGTCTGTCTGTGATAAACCACGTAAAGCCGTGAACCTGCTTCCTTTCAGGGGAGAGTCCAGCAGGAACAAGTCCTGCTGAGCCTCAGAGGCACGTCTCTGCTGCCAGCGTTAAGAAACCCCCCGTGGGCCACAAACCCGTTTTCACCCAGCCCATCACAAGCTGCACGGTGGCACACGGGGAGGTGGCCCGCTTCCACGCGTGCGTGTCTGGCACGCCCAGGCCAGAAATCAGCTGGTTCCACAACTGGCAGCCGGTCCGGCCCACCAAGAACCTGGTGTTCCACTTCGACGAGGTGACAAACGTCGCAACGCTCATCGTAGTGGACACTTTCTGTGAGCATGCGGGACAGTACACCTGCAGGGCAGCCAACACCGCCGGGGAGGCGGCGTGCTCGGCCACGCTCACCGTAACCAGAGAAGAAGATGAAGCAGGAGGTAACACCTGGCCACACCTGGCCACCGGGTTTTCTGTCTGAGAGATTAACTCCGAGGGGATGTCCCGACCCGAACGGGTGGTCAGATCCAACCTTTCAAGTCGTCTGCAGAATCAGTCTGAAGACAAAACACGAGAAACGACTCATTCAGAAGAAAAACTGTCGGAGGCAAGAATCAAAACATCCCATGTAGTTTTTAAACCATAAAAACTGTACAGCATGAGCTCACATCTCAAGGTCAAAGGTCAGGAAGCAGATTATTTTATAAAATGTGTTTACAAACAAAAGACGATTCTGTTTGAGCTTCTCTGATAGAAAAATGCTCAGAAGTTGTAAAGACCTTAAACTTGAATACACAAGAAAAACAAAATAATAAAAAACTGAACGTAAAGGCAACAAAACGGTGACATCAGAAGGTCTACGGTCAACGTTCCAGAAGAACGGAGTTTAGCTGCTTAAAGTTCACAACAAAACATTTTATATGCCTGAAGCTCCAACTGTCACTGCTCACAGCACAGATCGACTCATTACATGCACGTTTTGACGAGTCCAAACAATTTCTGACAGCCGAAGCTTCGTGTCTTCACCCAGCAGAGAGGGAACACTCGGGTTGAAGATTGAAGCATTTATTGATGTTACTGCAGCCGAAGGGTCCTCGACCTGCGGCTCTTTCTGCAGTGACTTCAACCAAAGAAACAACAGAAGTTAATTTGAATGTAATAACAACAGAAAAGGTTAGTTTTAGTTTCCTCTATTTGTTTAGAAAAACATCAAATATGACGTTACTAATAAGATAAATAAAATATATTTATATAAATAAGATGAACTTGTAAAAATTAGTGGAGTGTTTTGCAAAAATATGAAGTTATATTTTAAAGAAGTGAATCATGAAGAACCTGACACTGGTTGTCACGTTTATCGATTCAGGCGTTTTTCATCTGAAACTGAGAACTGGATCGGGACATCCCTCAGTCCTCCATCAGCTCTGACTAACACCACAGAGACCACCAATCCTGAGATTTTAACCTCCTTTACCGCTCCTCACAGGAACAAACCTGCCCTCCTCCTCCTCCTCCTCCTCCTCCTCCTCCTCCTCACAAAGCTCACACCTTAACCTCTGTCCTGCAGGAAAGTTTCCATCTCTTCCTCGGGTTGATTTCTCACCTTGTCATTCACGTTTCTCCATGTTTTACAACAATCACACATTTTTTTCCTGCTCGTTTCTGTTTGAGTGTTTTCTATTCATCATTTGAGCAAAGAACGCTGGAAGTTTCAGTTTCTTTCATCAAATATGAAAAAGAAGAACAGAAAAGTGGAAATGTCATGTGGTTGATCTTCAGCATCTGTCCAGTCTCCTCAGCAGCTCAAATATGAGCTGAAACCTGTTTCTTTGAATTCCTCTGTTTTTACTCCAAACTGTGACCAATATGGCCGAACTTGACCTGAAGGTCCATTTCCTCCACAGTGACCCATGTGAGGGAGCAGATCGAAGCCACCATGGAACAGGAAGTTAAAGGTAAGAGCTCGTCCCTCTGGTCTCCACACACCTCACACAGATTGTTAATTACAGGCGAGCAGCAGCCTGGTTGGGTGGGGGGCGGGGGCAGTCTGATCAGATTAAACCCTCTGATCATCTGGACGTAGTCTGTCAGCAACAGGCGACTCTGATCCAAGCTGTGAGGTTTTATTTCCTGTGAGGAACCAGCTGAGAACCTGCTGCATGCTGGCTGGGCTGGTTGGATTACAGTCGTCCTGTTTCCACAGATTACTGTTAAAGCTCAGAAACGTGTTGAACTGTCCCTTTAACTGGTCTCTGGTCTTCCACAGTTGCATGTCATGTTCTTGAGTTCAGATGGACACTTCTTCTTGTTTTGTACTTTTCAACCTGCTCTTATTTTGACGGGATTCTGTGGTTTCCTCCTGCAGAGCACTCCAAAAAACTTGCTTGTACTGTTTTTATAAAAAAAACTTTGCATCCAAAGGTTCGTTTTGGCATGAAGGATCTTCTGATGTTCTCGGAGAAAAGGCGCAGGATGTGTATCTTTTAAAGTTCTTGTAATATCTTGAAATGCCCTTTAAAAGATATGGAGGTCTGAGCCTGACACCTCCTCCTGCAGAATACGTCCTAGCCTGGCTTGCAGATAGTGGGATGTGATTCCTGTGGTTTGCTTTCTAAATAACACCAGTAAAACTATATTAGTTCGAATAAACGCCTTCTCGCCCAATTTTACAGCTTCGTTCTGTAAACTTCACTCCAAAGTTCTTTTTTACTTCCTGTTAAGGATTAGAAAGGGCGTTTATTCTCTTGTCTGCAAGTCAGGTAAGGAACTTTTATCAAAAAGAAAACGACAGCGAATGTTGGCCGCCCAGCTTGGAAACATGTTTTCATTTTATCAATAATAAAATAATTTATGTTTTGAAGAAATTTCCACAGACGAAGGATCAAAACTTCCTGCAGGTTTCTAGTAAAAAGAATCAAGTCTTGCGTTTATTCGAACAAATATGGTGAGTGAATTTTTATTATGGCTTTGTGACTCCCAGCATGCATTTAATATTTCCATTAATGATCATCTTTTCCGTCTCTGGTGAACCTGCAGAGGTAGTTGAGCTCTTCTGTTTGTTTCTGTTTGCAGAGCTGCTTCATCACCGCGGCACTGAACTCACCAGCACCCGGCAGCTCCGCGGAGCCTTCTCCGACACTGAGGAGTTCGTCGATCACGGCCTGGTGTCGGCCAACCGCTGCTCCAGCAGGACCTCCTCCATCAGCTCCTGGACAGAGAACATCAAACCATCCTTCACCAAGAAGCTGAAGTTCCAGTCTGTTCTGGAAGGGGAACCGGTAGAGTTTAAGTGTAAACTTATTGCTTGTCCTCCACCAACTATCCTCTGGTTTCATAATAACAGATCCATTCCTAAAGAGCGCAGGCGCAGGATCAGTACTGACAGCAGGATGCACATGCACACCACCTGTCTGTTGATTGACAGCATCAGAGAGAAGGACTCTGGCAGTTATAAGGTGATGGCGATAAACACGGAGGGCTCTGCTGAGTCCACAGCATCTCTGCTAGTTTCACTCAGGGAAGAGCAGTCTGCTAACTACCTGGGTTTTGTCCGTCGCTCAGCCAAAGCTCACGAGAGCGTAGACAGCTTGGCAGAGGAGAGGAAGGAGAGGAAGTTCAGGGTGGACCTCAGGTGTGTAGGGTCTCCGTTTGATAAGATGTCACAAGTCCATCGGGGTAGGTCCCGATCTAAGAATGCTCTGGTGCGTGCTGTCATCTTCAGATCTGGAGCTGCTGCTTCTTCTAAAGAAAAAGACTCAGAGAAGGAATCCAAATGTTTGGAGACTGCTTCTGAGCGTGCTCCATCCCCTCCTCCGATGTTTGACAGGCCTGGGCGCTTTAATGACAGGTTCAGTGACATCTACTGTGACCGGCGCACTGGTGCTCGGTTCAGTGATAAGTTCAGTGACAGGTGCAGCGACAGGTACAGTGACAGGTTCAGTGACACAGAGAGCCTCCACAATGAGGTGAGAGCAAAACTTAATACTCTGCAAAAAGCTGTGAAACAGAAAAAGAGGCTTTCTGTCTCCACAATGTCTTCATCTGAGTTTGAGATGGAATCAGTCACCAGTGAGTCGAGTTACGCAGAATATGTAGAGAGGCTGAGGGTCAAACCTGCCTCTCTGCCTGATGTCCAGCACTTCAATCGGCCCTTCGATCAGGAGGACAAAAAGTCAGGCAGGGAACCCTCTCAGCCCCGAGCCAGACACTCGTTTGAGCCTCAGTCCAGAACCAGGGCCATTCAGATCATGAGAGGAGAGCTGGTTGACACCAAGGCGTTTCAGGGAGAAAGGAGGTCAGGTGACAAATACTCAGAAATTCTGGAGGATAAGAACGCTGCTGAATCTCAGGCAGATGGTAGATATGAGCCGAAGGTCAGGGAACATCACAGAACAGAGACTGAGCTGAGTCACAAAGATCTCATTTATTCTGAAAGTGCAGACAACAGGAAATTTGTCCCAGAGGCAGAATCACTCCTTACTGAGGCGGTTCAACAAAAAGTCTCAGAAACAGCTAAAGGATCAGAGGAATCACTCAGAGCTCAGTACGAGAAGAGTCTCGAGGCTGAACGAAAGGAGTGTGAGGACAAACTCCTTGCTCTGAGAATCAGGAAGTGGCAGCAAGGGAGTATGATGTCAGAGGAAGAGATGTTCCACCCGGAAACTGAAGTTTCTATGGTAACTAAGGAACAGTACCTTGAGCCCATGGAGCACATCTACCCCCAGCAGGAGTTGGTGGAGAAAAGATCAGCTGAGGCGAGGAAGCCAAAGTCCTCCACTTTCCAAAAAACGTCTACCGTAAAGGCAAGAACGCTGGACACTGGACACATGGAGCCTGAGGAGCACATTTATACCCTGCAGGAAGATGTGAAGAGAAGATCAGATGACAAAAGAGAGACTATGCATCCTTCTTTCCAAAAAACATCAACTACAAAAGCAAGGATGTTCAGTCCTGAAGCTGGAACACCAAAGTCTCCAAAAACACAAACTGGAGGAGAGAAAGGAGAGAAGTCCACTTCCACTGGTGGTGTAAAACCAGCTAAAAAAGCAGAGGAGTCTTTGAGGGTGCAGTATGAGAAGAGCTTAGAGGCTGACAGGATGGAGTGTGAGGAAAAGCTCCTCGCTCTGAGGATCAGGAAATGGCAGCAAGGTGTGCAAATGTCAGGGGAGGAATCATTTCACTCTGAGACAGATTTTCCAGCTGATGCAAAGGAGCAACTATACACTCAGCAGGAGTTTGTTAAGAAAAGATTGGCTGAGGAAAGTGTGAATATCCCATCTTCTTTTCAAAAATCATCTACTGCCATGAAGGCTGGGATGCTTGAGAGTGAGTACATAGAGCCCAAGGAGCACATTTATACCCAGCAGGAGTTTATGAAGAGAAGATTAGCTGAGGAAAGCGAGACCAGACTCCACTCTTTTCAGAAAATATCTGATATGAAAGCTAGGACATTGGGCACTGGGTTGATGGAGTCTGAGGAGCACTTATACGCCCAGCAAGAGATTGGGAATAAAAGATCAGCTCTGGAAGGTGAGACCACTCCTTCCTCTTTCCTAAAACCACCTGGAGTGAAGTCCAGGACATTGGGCACTGGATTGATGGAGACTAAGGAGCACTTATACACCCAACAAGAGATTGTAAAGAAAAGATCAACTCAGGAAGGTGAAACCATCCTTCCATCTTTTCAAAAGCCATCCATTATGAAGGCTAGGGCACTGGACACTGGGTATGCGGAGCCTGAGAAGCATATTTATACCCAACAGGAAGTTGTGAAGAAAATATCTGTTCAGGAAGATGAGACCATCTTTCCTTCTTTCCAAAAACCATCCACCATGAAGGGTAGGGCTCTGGACACTAGGTATGTAGAGCCTGAGGAACACCTATACACTCAACAGGAGGTGGTAGAGAAAGCTGGGCCTGTGGCTCTTACTCAGATACAAGTATCAAAGTTACAGAAAGTGGAAATCGGAGCAGAGCAGGAGGAAACAACAGCTCATTTGCCTAGAATCGGAATGAAAGCTCAGACAAGAGAACAGGAGGCATTGGTTCAAGCTGAATCTGCACAAAAAACACCCTGGATACAAGTTGGAGCAAAAGGAGTAGAAGCTCAGTCACCTAAAATAAAAGTCGGAGCAGAGAGGAAGTTGTTTGAGAGGTCAAAAGAAGAACGAGAGCTCCAGCTCTCCAGGGAAAACCTCTCAGAGCTGGAAAGTGAGAAGTTTATTAGTGAGGAGGAGGCCTTGACTGAGAGAATTATGAAATGGCAACAGGATGTTCTGATGGAGCAACATCAGGATGTGGAACTAGAGTCAGACTGGGCGGAGGGTTATCCTCGGTTCCAAACAGAGACCACCTCCAAGGTTGGGAAAAATATTACAGAATGCAGCAGAGACATTTCTCCAGGAAACATCCCCAAGGAGAAATTGCTGCTGAGCAATCCAGTTCCAGCTGCTTTCCAAGATCAGGCAGGTGAAGTCCTGCAGTGGCCACCAGCTGAGGAGATGTTGACAGAGGGCCGAGAGACCAGGCTGCAGACAGACAGTGAATACTTTGTAAGTGAGGAAGAAGCACTGGCTCAGCGCATCCTGAAATGGCAACAAGACGTTGTTGAGCCGGAGCTAGAGTCGGAATGGGCTTTGGACAATCAAATCAAACAGTCTGGTTCTGGGTTTGAGTCCCACGTTCTTCCATATGTTGATCAGGTTCGACATGGTCCACCAGCTGATGGAGCTCCTCCAAGTACAAAACCATCACCTCATCAACAAGCTGAATGGATCAAACAGTCTACTGTTCAAGAGTCATCTTTTATACCAACCAGTCCTCCATCAGGTCCTAATTTACCTTCTTATGTGGCTGCACCTGTTGCTCCTATAGAAGCTTCATATCAACCCGAAGATTTGGTAGGGGAGGCTGAGATGAGGATGAACAAGGAAGAGTCTGCACTGACTGTTGATAA